GAAGCAAGAGGTATTAGAGAAGATTTCCTATAGAAGGTGGGATTTTACCTGGGACTTCAAGGAGCATGGAGTGGAGGGTCAGTAGTTGTAGTGGAGGAAGGAGAGCATTCTAAGTATGGGGAATTGGCAGAGAAAATGCCCAGAGTGAAGGTACTGATATGGAGTGTCTTGTTCATGGAACAGCCAGTAGGATGGTATGTCATGAAGGGCTTTGAATTCTAGTAACGGCATGAGGGAACAGGGGTGTCAAAGTCATAACACACTTCACCACATGCTGCTCACAAAACTCCTGAGTGCAGCTTGAAGTAGATGAAAATGTAATTGGGAAATGTTTAATAAATAAATAAATAAAAATAAAATAAAGCTTAGATGTTAATTTGTGGTTTTTCTAAGAATATGGGTGGAGGGAAGGCAGCATGAACATGTGGGATTGAAAGGTCATAACTGACAAACCTCCCCCAAAAGCTATTTTACAAAATGACTGCAGAAAGCACCAAACTAAATTCTGAACAGGGAAACTCAACAAAAAGTCACATTAAGTCAAATCTGGAACTTACTATCTGTGTGAACTTGGGCAAGTCACTTAACCCTGTTTGCGTCAGTTTCCTCATCTGTAAAATGAGTTGAAGAAAGAAATGGCAAACCATTCCAGTGTCTTTGCCAAGAAAACCCCAGGTGAGGTCATGAAGTATCAGACATGACTAAACCACCAAAAGAAACCCAACAAAGCTGCAGAGTTTGCTGCTGACAGATATACATAATAAAGGCAGCCATTCAGGCTAGGTGGAATGACTTTGGTTTCTTTACACTTTGTTCTTTTGCTAAACCATAGATGCTAACCCTAAATCCTAATTGCTAAATCCTAAATAGTTGTCTGGACAGAGAGAAAGAATGAAAGAGAGAAAGAGAGAGAGAGAAAGAGAGAGAGAGAGAGAGAGAGAGAGAGAGAGAGAGAGAGAGAAGAGAGAGAGAGAGAGAGAGTTTAATTTCAGCATTCTGCTGGGTTTTATAAACTGGATATGGTCTTGATCTCAACTTTATTTCAAATTATAAAAGAAAATTATCCAGATATCTCAGAACCAGAAGGCAAAGTTGGAATTGAAATAATCTTAGGAAGTAGGAGAGGAATGGGCTAAGAGAAAGGAGGTGGATTAAGAGAAACAATGGCTAGAAGCAAAACAGACTTTTGAGGAGGAGATAGGGTAAAAAAGAGAAGAATAACTAGAAGAGAATATGAAGAAGGAAAATACACATAGCCATTTCTGTTCTGCAGCCTTCCCCCACCCCTCATGGGGCTTTGCGTTACTCTGCCCCCTCCATGACTCTGAGGCTCCCTGCGGCTGGATTAGCTTCGGTTCCTGGAGCAGAAGACTGTTGGTACAAGACTGCACTGGCACTGCTGCCTCTGCTGTCATCTGCTGGAAGTAGGAGCCAGAGACAGGGGCTGTGCAGGGTTTTGCCATCTGCCTCCCAGGAAGCTGAATTTGTGTAAAGCAGGAACTGTCTGGAATTAGCAATTATAACTGTGAATATGAATGAATTCACCCATAAAATGGAATGAACTCACTTATAAAATGGAGGAAGATAGCAGAAGGGATTAGAAACCAGAATTCAACACTCTATTGTTTACAAGACACACATTTGAAACAGAAACACACACACACACACACACACACACACACAGACTTAAAATAAGGGACAGCAACAAAATCTATTATGCTTCAAGTGAAGTAAAAAGGTAGTTATGGCAATGATGATCAAAGCAAAAGCAAAAATTCAATATTCAAGGGAACTATGTTTTGCAAAAAGGTACCATAGACAATGAAATACTATCAATACTGAACTCATGTGCACCAATGGCATAGCATCCAAATTCTTGAAGGAAAAGTTGAATGAGTTATAGGAGAAAAGAGAAAAGTAAAACTATACTAGTAGAGGACTTCAAGTTACCCCTCTCAGACCTAGATAAATCTAACCATAAAATAAATAAGAAAGAAGTTAAGGTGATAAATATAATTTTAGAAAAGTTAGATATGATAGACCTCTAGAGAATATTGAAGAGGAATAGAAAGGAGTATATCTATCTCATCTGTGCATGGCATCTTCACAAAAATTGATCATGTATTAGGGGATAAAAATCTCACAAATTCATAAAAACAAAAATATTACATGCACATTTTTGGCCATAATGCAGTAAAAAATTATATTCATAAAGGATCTTTGAAGCATAGGATAAAAATTAATAGGAAATTAAATAATCTAATCCTAAAGAATGAGTGGGTCAAAGATCAAATCATAGGAACAATCAATACATTTAAAGGTAATGACAACAATAAGACAACATAACAAAGTTTGTGGGACACAGCCAATGGAATAATTAGGAGAAATTTTATATTTCTGAACACTTGCATTAATAAGAGAGATGAAGAGCAGATATATTAGTTGGGCATGCAACTAAAAAAATGGGAAAAGAACAAATTAAAAATCCCCAATTAAACACCAAAATAGAAATCCTGAAAATGAAAGAAGAGATTAATAAAATGGAAAAAAATAAAATCTTCAAACAAATAAAACTAGGAGCTAGTTTTCTGAAGAAAAAAACCCAATAAAATAGAAAAACTGTGGGCTAATTTGCTCTTTTTTTAAAAAAAGCAGAAAATCAAATTACCAATATCAAAAATGAAAAGTGAATGCACAGCAAATGAAAATGACCTTAAAGCAATTATGAGAAACTATTTTGCCCAACTATATGCCAATAAAACTTAATAAAAGGGATGAAAATTTACAAAATCTAAACTGTCCAGATTAATGGAAGAGGAAATAAAATGTTTAAATAACCTTTTTTAGAAAAAGAGTTTGAATGAGCCAGAAATGAGCTCCCTAAGGAAAAAAAAATTCTAGGACCAGATGGATTTACAAGAGAATTCTACCAAACATTTAAAGAATAATTAATCCTAATACTATATAAATGTTTTTAAAAATAGGTAAAGAAGGAGTCCTACCAAATTAATTCTATGGCAAAAACATAATTGTTATCTAAACCAGGGAGATCAAAAACAAAGAAAACTATAGACCAATTTCCCCAATGAATATTAGTGCAAAAATTTTAAGTAAAAAATATGTCTACATGTGGCCCACAGGTATCCATTTCTATATGAGTTTGACACCTCTGTCTTAACAGATTGGAGTCAAAGTGGCAAGGTGGTGGCCCTGAAGAAATGAATCCCAGAAGCTGGTTGCACAGGTCATTGCCCATAAGGAGTGCTATAATATGATGATGTACACCCACACTTCTACTGATGGTGTATTTGTGGTAGATTGGACTCTGGGTTTAATGAAGGAAATGTTCTATCACTATATCTCTTGCTATAATATTTCATTAAATGCATTGACTTTGAACTAATCATGCCATCTGATGGGCTTGAAAATAAATCATTTAATTGATGGGGGCTTGAGAACTAAAGTTCTTTTTTTTTATCTAAAACATTTCCATATTAATAATTTTATACAAGAAGACTGAAATAAAAAGGAAAAAATGAGAGAAAGAAAGAAAGAAAGAAAGAGAAAGAAAGAAAGAAAGAAAGAAAGAAAGAAAGAAAAAGAAAGAAAGAAAGAAAGAAAGAAAGAAAGAAAGAAAGAAAGAAAGAAAGTGAAATACAGCATGCTTCAGTCTGTATTCAATCAATATCATTTCTTTCTCTGGAGGTAGATAGTAGGCTTCATCATTAGTCCTTTGGGATTGTCTTAGATCATTGTATTGCTGTGAATATCCAAGTCATTCACAATTCTTCATTGAACAATACTGCTGTTACTGTGTACAATGTTCTCCTGGTTCTGTTCATTTGACTATGTGTCAGCTCATGTAAATATTTCCAGGTTTTTCTGCTTGTCATTTCTTACAGCACAATAATATTCTATTAAAATCATATGCCACAGCTTATTTAGCCATTCCCCAACTGAGGGCCATCCCTTTGATTTTTAATTCTTAACCACCACAGAAAAAGACTGCTGTAAATGTTTCTGTACAAATAAGTCCTTTCTGAAACCTTTTTTTGGATATCTTTGGGATATAGACCTAATAGTGGTATTGCTGGGTCAAAGGGTAGGCACAGTTTGATTGTCCTTTGGGCATAGCTCCAAACTGCAATTTGTACAGAATGGTTGAATCAGTTCACAATTCTACCAACAGCGCATTAGTGTCCCAGTTTTCCCACATCCCCTCCAACATCCAACACTTTCCTTTTCTGTCATATTAGCCACTCTGATAGGTGTGAGGTATTTTAGGTTGCATTTCTCTAATCAATAATGATTGAGCATTTTTTCTTATGACTATAAATAGTTTTAATTTCTTTGTCTGAAAACTGCCTGTTCATATCCTTTGACCACTTATCAATTGGGAAATGACTTGTATTATTATAAATTTGACTCAGTTCTCTATATTATTGAGAAATGAAGCCTTTATCAGAGATAAAGATTGTTGCAAAATATTTTTCCCAGTTTGCTGCTTTTGATTTCCCAGTTTTTGCTTTTTAATTTTATATAATCAAAATTATCTATTTTACATTTTGTAATGCTCTTTATATTTTCTTTGGTCCTAAATTCTTCCCTTATCCATAAATCTGACAGACAAACTATTCCATGTTCTCCTAATTTGCTTATGATATCACCCTTTATGTGTAAATCATGTACCCATTTTCACCTTATCTTGCCTTGTGGTGTGAGATGTTGATCTATGCCTAGTTTCTGCCATCCTGTTTTCCAGTCTAACCAGCAGAACTAAGGTTTTTGAGGAATGTAGACCCAAAGAATTCTTCAAATCTAGGACAACTCTTTTGGGTCCCTCACATGAAAGAAAGGATTACAGAAGTTACTGCTAACATAGTCCCTGGCATACAATAGGGTCTTAATAAATGCTGGTTAGATGACTGGGTAGATTGTATGAAGTGATTCCAGTTGATTCATTCTTTTCTAAAGATATTTGCTTTGCTTTTCTTCTTCAGGAGCTTAACAAACATGTTCTGTGGAAGTCATGAAGGTGCAGTCGCTACTTAATCTTTATCTTCTGAATGTTCTTGTACAACCTCTGATTGGATTTGATGGTAAGCTTTATTATTGCATATAGAGGGTGAATCATATATTGGAGAGGGGGATGGTTCTTAACTTGGGATCTGTTTTGAAAATTTTTTTGTAACTATCTAATTTTTTTGTAATGCTGTGTATTTTATTTTACATATTTAAAAATATTCCTCTGAGGAGTTGGGGAAACATGAAAATCCTCTTTTTTTTTAGTAAAACTGAAAATATTTTTAAAAATCACATTTCTTTTGTCTAAAACCCTTTGAAACTGCCTTTTTGAAGCTTGGTTAAGCTAAGTTAATAACAAAATGCCTTTCTTGGGAAAATGGACTAAGAATGGTTAAAACCTAGAACAAAGACTACCTCTTGATCAGTGGTATCAATCATGTGATTCCATGAGTTTAGACAGGCATCCTGGAAGTAGCTAAAACAGATTAAAATAGGATTGGTAAATATTTAACAAAATAAATTTAAAAAATAGTAAAACATAGATCATGTTAATGTGTGGTTTTCTCAGTTAATACATTCCCATGTGTATGGTTCATTAGCACCCCCAACCCTTTGGGTTTGAAACCATTGCTCTAGATCATTTCCTGCTCCATCCCTTGAAGTGATTGAGCTATTGACCCACCTAGGCATTCCCTATTTTGTCTATGTGTTAAAGTTATTGTTACTATGAACCACCCTTCTCCATTCTGAAGGATGATACTGATAATTGAAATTCAGGGAAGAGACCCTTTTCAATCCTTGAGGTAAATGGTCCAGGAAGGAACTGAGTTGTGACTATTCTAGAAGTTAATCCCAAACTATATTTTGACATTTTACCATCTTTTTATTGTTCAAGATTTCTGTAAATGTTACCTCAAATTGTCTTGGGATAGACACATGTTGGAAGGCTTGGGGGAACTATGTTAGTTTGAGCATCTTTTTCTAGGATAGAAGTAGTTCAGATATTAAAATCATATTAAATAAAATTATTTCTGGCAGACTTATTCCTAAATGTAGAATATAGAACAGAATCATTTACCATGTCAAGGCGATCACATGCATATATTAAGCACCTAGCACTAGGAATTGTTCTAAGCTCTGAGGATAGGAAGAAAGGTTAAAAATGTCATATTTGGGAAACAAAATATAATTATGTACAAATAAAATATATGCAAGATATATTGGAGACAATCAACAAAGGAAAAGCACTAGCATTAAGGGGGAAAAGGCACCTTAAGAAGATGAGATATTAGCTGGTACTTGAAGGAAGCCAGGGGACAGAAATAAGAAGGAAGAGAATTGTAGGCATGAGGGATTCCCAGTTAAAATACATAGAGAAGAAGGCATAGAAGGGGTCCTATCAAATTCCTTTTATGACACAAATATGGTACTGATACCTAAACCAGGAAGAGAAAAACAGAGAAAGAAAACTATAGACCAATTTCCCTAATGAATATTGATGCAAAAATTTTAAATAAAATACAAGGAGATTACAGCAATTTATCACAAAGCTCATACACTATGACCAGGTGAGATTTATACCAGGAATACAGGGTTGCTTCAATATTAGGAAAACTATCTGTATAATTGACCATATCAATAACAAAACCAATAAAACTCATGTGATTTTCTCAATAGAAGCAGAAAAAAGCTTTTGAGAAAATATAGCACTCATTCCTATTAAAAACAGTACAGAGTATAGGAATAAATGGAGCTTTCCTTAAAATGCTAAGGAGTATCTATATAAAACCATCAGCCAGCATTGTCTGTAACAGACATAAACTTGAAGCCTTTCCAATACGATCATGGGTGAAGCAAGTTTACTCATTATCACCAATATTATTCAATATTAGCTTAGAAATGCTAACTATAGCAATAAGACAAGAAAGAGAAATTGAAAGAATTAGAAGAAACAAAACTGTCACTCTTTGCAGATGCTATATTGGTATAGAGAATCAACTAAAAAACTAGTTGAAATAATTAATAACTTCAGCCAAGTTGCAGGATATAAAAATAAATCCCCCCAAATCATCAGCATTTCTGTATACTGCTAATAAAATCCAGCAAGAAGAGATAGAAAGAGGAATTCCACTTAAAATAACTACAGACAGTATAAAATACTTGGGGGTCTACTTGCCAAGACAAATCCAGGAACTATAAGAACACTGTTACAAAATACTTTTCTCACAAATAAAGTCAGGTCTAAACAATTGAAGAAATATTAATTGCTAATGGGTAGGACAAGCCAGTATAATAATAATGACAATTCTACCTAAATTAATTTACTTATTCAGGGCCATGTAAATCAAACTATCAAAATTATAGAGCTAGAAAAAATTAGAGCAATTCATCTGGAAGAACAAAAGGTCAAGAATATCAAGAGAATCAACGAAAATAAAATGTGAAGAAAGGTAGCATAGCAGTACCAGATCTCAAACTGTATTACAAAGAGGTAATCATCAAAACAATCTGGTGTTGGCTAAGAAATGGATTAGTGGAATAGATTAGGTACACAATACACAGTAGTAAATGACCATAGTAATCTAGTGTTTGACAAACTCAAAGAGCCAAGATTTTGCGACAAGAAATCACTATTTGACAAAAATTGCTGAGAAAGTTAGAAAACACTTTGTCTGAAACTAGGTATCAGTATCTCACTCTGTATATTGAGATAAGGTCAAAATGAGTGCATAATTTAAACATAATAGGTGATATCATAAGCAAATTAGGGGAGTATTTTGCATGTCAGATTTATGGATAGGAAGAATTTATGACCAAATAAGAGAGAGCATTATGGGATGTAAATTGGATATTGTTGATTACATCAACTTAAAAAGGTTTTGCACAAACAAACCAAAGCAGCCAAGATGAGAAGGAAAGTAGGAAGCTAGGGGGGAAATTAACAGCAAGTTTCTCTGATAAAGGCTTCATTTCACAAATACATAAAGAACTGAGTGAAATTTATAAGAATATGAATCATTCCCCATTTGATAAATGGTCAAGTGATGTGAAGTCAGTTTTCAGAAAAAAAAAAACCCAAATCTATCTATAGTCATATGAAAAGAAAATGCTCTAAATCACTATTGAATAGAGAATACAAATTAAAACAACTCTGAGGATGCCCCCTCACACCTATCAGACTAGCTAATATAACAGAACAGGAAAATGAAAAACGTTGGTAGGATGTAGAAAGATTGGAACATTAATGCAGTGTTGGTGGAGTTGTAAACAGATCCAACCACCCTGGAGAACAATTTGGAACCAGACTATAAAACTACACATCTGACCCTGCAATTCCACTACTACACATGTACCCCAAAGAGATCAAAGGCAAAGGACAAGCGTGTACAAAAATATTGACAGCAGCTCTTTTTGTGGTGGCAAAAAATGGAAAATTGAGGGGATGTCCATCAATTGGAGAATGGCTGAACAAGCTATAGTATGTAATTGTGATGCAATACTATTGTGCTATAAGAAATGACAAGCAGGATGTTTTCAGAAAAACCTGGAAAGACTTACATAAATTGATGCAAAATAAAATGAACAGAACCAGGAGAACATTGCACACAGTAACAGCAATATTGAAGTAGGTGTTGTTATTAACCTCATTTTACAGAGGTGGAAACTGAGACATAGAGAGGTTAAGCAACACAGTAGTATATATCTGAGTTAGTATCTAAACCTAGGTCTTCTTGATTTCACACTCAGCACCCTGGTAATTACTACAGACTACCTTGCAGTCTCAAAAATTCTCAATACTTCATAGACTCTTGACCATTGAAGACTATTCTCTTTTGCAATGATGATTTTAGGTTTTTGCAGGTAGAAAGGAAAATCAAGGGGGTTAGAATTCCATATGTATTCCCAAAGACATACTGGTAAATGTTTAAGAACCATTTTTCCCCAAAAAAGAAAAAGTAATCATGACATTTGAAAATTTAATCTGCATTATGAATATTTTCTCCATCATTTTATCTAGAAATCAACACAATAACAAATTAAGCCCTGACTTGTAGTATTTTCTGATTTTCAAGGCATAAATGTTCATTCTGAAATTTTAATAACTGGCTCACTAACTATAGCTCCCCCCCTATTTGTACCCCATGGAAGAATCCTAGCTCTTTTGCCTGAATTTTATAGAGGTCTCACAAAGTTATTGAACAGGTGAAGTCTTCCCAATTCCCCTTTAGTTCTCTTTCCTCTTTCAACAACCACATGTTACCTCCAGACCTTTCGTGACCACATCTTCACGTCTCTGTTCGGTGTTTAGTTTCCTTGGGGTTCTCTTCTGGCGAACCTGATTAGTCTATAATAACAATAATAATACTAATAATAAGTATATACTATACATATATAATATGTTTAAATGTTATACACATTCATATATATTATATATACATGTATATATGTATATGTGGTATACACACAGATACACACACACACTACACACACGTATGGCTTTAAAGTTTACAAAACACTTCCCGTGTGCTGTCTTATTTTGGCCTTAACAACAACTCTTGTCAGGTAGGTGATATTATTATTAGCTACATTTACAGATGCATAAACTAAGGCTAAGAGAGGTGATTGACTTACAAGGTCACACTGAAGTGTTTGAGACAGTATTTGAACTAGATTCTTCCTGAGTCCAAGCCCAATACTCCAGCCAGTAAACCACCTACCTAGCTGCTTCTAAAATTATTACACTTAGAAGAAAACATTGGTGCTACCACCTCCCACTTAGCACATTTACATTGTTAACAGGAGTGCTCTGAAGACAAAATGGCAGGCAGGCCTGGACCATGGAAGGTACTTGGAGACAAGTGAACAAGTGATTCCATTCACATCTCACCATCTAGACAACCATCTCTTTTGCCTATGCTCAAGTCTGGTCCTCATTGCCAAAGTTAACTCAATTCAGTTGAAGAAATATTTAATAAGAATCTACAATTTTCCTAGGGCATCACTATTTAAATTCTCATCATAGAAAAACAATACAGAAAAAGAAGAATTAACAGTGGAATAAACAAGAGACCATTAGTCAAGAGTCTTGGGTTCTAATCCTGTATCTGCCACTAACTAAATGTATGACTGGGTAAATCACTTAATCTCTGTTGGCCTCAAATTTCTTCATATGCAAGATGAGAAGATTGTTAGAACTGGAGGGCTCTTAAGGGATCACTTAGTCCAACCTATCAGCCTTATGGTATGTGATGTAGAATCACCATCTATAAATGTGTCTAATACGACTTACCCTCGGAAATCTAATTAGCAATTTTGGTGCTTGGGGGCGAGAGGAAAACAGCACAAGCAATAAAAGCAGAGGTAAAATTGCCTTTGTAGTTCATGATGTGAAAATAATACAAGTAATTAACACAAAGTTTAGCAGTGGCAGTGAGGGGGAAGGACTGGTATTGATGTGGGAGTTTCCCAGCCTGGGTTCCATGAGATCCCAGAGAGAACCTCATTGACCATGAGATTTGCAAGTTTGAGGGATCAAAAAGTGAGCAGACAGAATGTAACTGGGAAAATAGATATTTATCTTAGTGTACTAATGAGGACTGCTTGGGCTGGTCATAGCTTCAACTTCTTTTTTGGGGGGGCGGTTAAGCAATGGGGTTAAGTGACTTGCCCAAGGTCACACAGCTAGTAAGTGTTATGTGTCTGAGGCCAGATTTGAACTCAGGTCCTCCTGAATCCAGGGCTTTGTGCTCTATCCATTGCGCCTCCTAGCTACTCCAGCTTCAACTTCTTAGGTACAGGTTGGGTTTTCATAGCTTTCAAAGCTCACTTAGTGTACAGAGGAAAGTAGAATGTTGCCTGAGAGTTTCTATTCGTATAACTCTTATTTCTTTATTCTGGGAATATGTCTTCTCCAAATTCATGGTATTCATGAGCACAGCTTCCTCCACCACAGTGACCATAGAGACTACTCCCTATTAGAACTGATTATTCTTGATAACTCGGTGCTAAGCTCACTTGTTCGGTTTTTTTTATACCTTTTAAAATTCATTATCTTGGGACAAAGCCCATCTCTCCTGCTTTTGTTATGGCTCAGTTTACCTTTGCTAAGTTACTCAGGATTGACATAGCCCTTGATATTTTGGGTGTTTTCCATTTGTTCATTATTCTTATTGCAATTGTCTGTGTCTATTTCCTTTTAGATGGATTCCCTTTTCCTTATTTTTATAGAACGTTTTCTCAGCCCATGACTACTGTTGTTGGAAGGCTTTATGAAGATGTGATCCTTCCTTGCTCATTTGAGAAAGGGCATGGCATAGTGATTCATTGGCACAAAGAGGATAAGCTGGTACACAGTTACTACAGAGAGAGTGACCATCTGGAACAACAGGAGCCAGATTATGCCAAAAGGACATCCCTTTTTCTCAACGAAATCAACAATGGAAATGCCTCGCTAACACTTAGGAGGTTAAACCTCCAAGATGAAGGAGTTTACACTTGCTATGCAGCAACAGAAGCTGAGATGGAGTGCAGAGAAGTAGAGCTGAAGTTGGGAGGTAAGTAAAATGTTCTAAGTACTTTCTGACCCATAGAGGTTTCTCTTCGCATGAATGCTCCAAGAGACTGCCTTGGGAATACCCAAGGTGCCTGAGCCTCCAGTCCTTTAAATGATCATGGGCTCATGTGTCCAGAGTAACATTTAAAAAACAAAAGCAAACAACAAAAACAAAACAGTTCCCAAAGTCCTCCCCAACCCTAAAGCCAATGGAAAGCTGAATTGATTTGTGCACATGACAATAAGAAACACAGGTAAACATTTTCTGGGGGAGTAGAACAGTGCATACAAGAGCTTTTGTTTTGTTACAGTGATGGTTTAAGGGGTCACTATCAGCACTCTCAGGAATAAGCTATTTCACATAGAGAATTTTCTGTGTAACTTAAACTTGTTTTTTTAAGCACAAACACATTAAAATATCTTTCTAAATCTATATAAATGATTTTCTAGATCACTTGCTCAAAAGGGCAGAAATGTGTGCAAACTTTCCTTGGTAACTTAGGATTATCATTATGGATATCAATTATTGTGGTATGAGCACAATTGGATTAGTGTGGTATGATTGGCTAAAATGGCTACCTGCATCGATGTAGGAAAGAAATACAATAATCAACTATAATAAGTGATTCCATCTTCTCCAGAACTGCATTAAAAAACCAACAACAACATCCAAAAGCCCACTGGCAAATAGGAAAGGGTCAAACAAGATGGAAACTTCTTAGTATGTGACCAGAGACATCAAAGGCCTTCACAGCTCTATATGTAGAGGCACTAAGATATAGCAGATAGAGTGTGGGTCCTGGAGTCAGGCATACTCCTCTTCCTGAGTTCAAATCTGACCTCAGACACTTACTAGCTGTGTGACCCTAGGCAAGTCACCTAACCCTGTTTGCTTAAGTTTCTTTATCTGTAAAATGAGCTGCAGACGGAAATGTCAAGCCACTCCAAGTATCTTTGTCAAGAAAACTCTAAATGGGGTCATGAAGAGTTGGGCACAACTCAACCAGACTAAGCAACGACAACAATAAACCCCTAGGAGGAAACCCCAGGAAATCGATTGCATGGACCTTGGAAGCCATTGGCAACGGCAGTCACAGTCTAAGACATGCAGCAATCAAATACAGTGTAGAGATGCTTAGAGTGAAGGAGCTTGAAACCTGTAACTCTCTGGCCTGAGAAGTCATGGAGGGCTCTGAAGATGCCATGACCCTCAAAGATTAAAGGGGACCAGACATTTACCATCGCTTTTTGATTAGACACACCTAGGGAGGAGGATGGAAGCCCAGGAATCCAGGTGACCCAGAGCGAAGCCAAGCGAGGCTGACTCTGCCAACCAAAGGTTCATCGGGCGGTGGAGGCTGGCCCTAGAACAAAGCTTCCGCTTAGGATCTGACACTAGAGGTAGCATTAAACAGAAGAAACCTATCACTGTGAAGAATTATAACAGGTCCAGAAAGACACAAAAACAATCCGACCAAGAAGAGAGCAAATCCACAATGACTTCAAGCGGAGAGTCAGGAAAAACGAATTTCCCACAAATAGTAAATAAATATCTGGAAGCAATGAAGAAAGAGAGAAAAATCAAATTAAAAACCCTTAGAGGAAAAAATTGCGAGGAGAATAAACACCTTAGAAGATAAAGTAGTAAATGCGACCCAAGTAACAGACTTCCTGAAAATTAGAAGAGATGTGATATAAATCAATTTCTCCACAACAATGAATATTAGAACAAAATCAAAAGATTAAAAAAATAAAATACATCAGAAAAAGGTATCCAAAATTAAAAAAAAAACTGACTTGGAAAATGGGTCACATAGAAATAATTTGAGAATTATCTGATTGTTTGAAACTGTGGTCCAACAACAACTACTACCCAAAAAAGCATCAATAGTATATTTCAAGAAATCATAAATGAAAACTTCTAGACTGATCAGAATCAGAGGGAAAAACAAAAATAGACAACTTTCACTGACTGTACCCTAAAAGGAACCCCAAAAGGAAAAGTGCCAGGGGTGTCATAGCCCAAATCCAGACCTTACACATCAAAAGAACATATACTACAAGCAGTCAAAAAGAATTTAAGTACCAAGGATTCACAGCCAAAATCACCCAAGATATCTAGGAATACGATATTCCACAAGATAAAAGATAATGCCTTAACATAACTTAGAAAGAGTCATGAATAACTTTTTCTGCAAAATTGAGTATAATCCTATAGGAGGAAAAATGGACCTTTAATGGAATGGAGCAGAGGTATCAAACACTTGGGCACATGCAGCCCAGCACTCTCCTGGGGACTCAATTAAAATGAAATTGAGAAATGGTTAACAAAATAAATAAAAATGCAATAAAACATGATAATGTTAATCTGTGGTTTTCTAAGTTCATATGCTACTGGCAAGGATCTGTTTCAGTTTGAGTCTGACATCACTGAAATAGAGGGTTTTCAGGCATTCATGATGAAAAGACAAGAGCTGAGTAGAAGCTCTAAAACATAAACACATGAGCCAAGGGAAACTTGAGAAGATTAACTTACATAAGAAATCAGAAGGAGCTATATGATAATAAAGTGCTAATATCCTAATAGGGGAGGAGAAGAAACAAAACTCCCTTCAGAATAGGAATTGAGTTAAATAAGGTAAACAGAGGGAATAATGGTGGATTGGTTTTATTCCAATGGTTTTAAGAAGGCAAAGAAAAGTGGGGAGAGGGTGGTAGTAAAAGGAAAACTAGAGTAGAAAGGAGAAAGAAAGGGTGGAACTTGGTATTTCTTATTGCTGGGTGTTTTACAAGGTTTTACAAAAATGAAAGACGACATGGGGGATTACAAATCAAATGAACCTCATTTTTATCAGAACTAGACGGAAGAGGGTTTAACACACACCTACAATTACAGATACCCATATAGAATTTGGCGTAGAAAAATGTCAAACTCGGGAGTGGAGCCAAGATGGCAGAGTGAAAGCAGTGACTTGCTTGAGCTCTCCCCCAAACCCCTCCAAATACTCATAAAAAATGGCTCTAAACAAATTCTGAAGCAGCAGAACCCACAAAAACACAGAGTGAAACAAATTTCCAGCCCAAGACAACCTGGATGATTGATCGGAAAGGTGTATCGCCCCGGGCTGGGAGCACAGCGCAGCGTGGGCGCAGGCCGCAGCAAACCTGGAGCAGGCCTCAGAGGACTGAATCATGGGCAGCTGTGGAGGTTTCCAGACTCCTCAATCCACGAATGCCAAAGACAACTTAGAAGGTCAGTGGGAAAAGTCTGTTTCTGTCGGTGGTTGGAGAGGAAGGCAGGGTTTCAGCTCCATTCCCCAAGAGCGTGGCCCTGGGGGGGGCAGCTGCTTCCCGAGCTTCCGGCCCACAGACTGAGGGGGAATCCAGTGGCTGATCAGAGAGGGATTGCAGGGATCTCTTTGCCAGTGCTGAGGCAGGAATCTCTTGTTTTGCCGGTGTGTGGATCTGGGTCACAGTTCTGGGCAGTGGTGCTGGGGTGAGGAGGACTGCTGGCGTGGTGGAGCTTGTAGTGGCTGTGGAGAGGACCCCTCCTCACAGTTACAGGACAGAAAGGAATACTTGTGGTCACAGGCCAGGAAAGGAGTAAACACCTCACCCCTTATCATACCACCTTGGAAGAACTGAAAATTTACAGGTCCCTACAAGTATCTCTGAAAACAGCTACACAAACCCCTGAAGCTTGGGACAGTACATCTCCACATTGGAAGCAGACTCTTACCTTAACAAAGAGTTTAAAACTCAAGTAATTGGCTGGGATCATGAGCAAGCAGCAAAAAGAGTCAGACTATATTATCTTACTTTGGTGAAAAAGAAGATCAAAATATACAACCAGAAGAAGAAAAAAAGTCAAAGCTCTTACATCCAAAGCCTCCAAGAAAAATATGAATCAGTCCCAGGCCTTGGAAGAGCTCAAAAGGGATTTTGAGAAGCAAGTAAGGGAAGTAGAGGAAAAACTGGGAAGAGAAATGAGAGTGATGCAAGAAAATCATGAAAAACAAGTCAACAGCTTGCTAAAGGAGACCCAAAAAAATACTGAAGAAAATAACACCTTAAAAAACAGCCTAACCCAAATGGCAAAAGAGGTCCAAAAAGCCAATGAGGAGAAGAATGCCCTAAAAAGAAAAATTGGCCAAATGGAAAAGGAAGTCCAAAAGATTACTGAAGAAAATACTTCCTTAAAAATTAGAATAGAGCAATTGGAAGACTAGTGACTTTATGAGAAATCAAGACACTGTAAACAAATCCAAAAGAATGAAAAATTAGAAAACAATGTGAAATATCTCATTGGAAAAACAACTGACCTGGAAAATAGATCCAGGAGAGAGAATTTAAAAATTATTGGACTATCTGAAAGCCATGATCAAAAAAAGAGCCTAGACATCATCTTTCAAGAAATTATCAAGGAAAACTGCCCTGATATATTAGAACCAGAGGGCAAAATAGAAATTGAAAGAATCCACCGATCTCCTCCTGAAAGAGATCCCCAAAGGAAAACTCCTAGGAATATTATAGCCAAATTCCAGAGTTCCCAGGTCAAGGAGAAAATATTACAAGCTGCCAGAAGGAAACAATTCAAGTACTGTGGAAACACAATCAGGATAACACAAGATTTAGCAGCTTCTACATTAAAGGACAGGGCATGGAATATAATATTCCGGAGGGCAAAGGAGATAGGATTACAACCAAGAATCACCTACCCAGAAAAACTGAGTATAATCCTTCAGGGGAAAAAATGGTCATTCAGTGAAATAGAGGACTTTCAAGCATTCCTGATGAAAAGACCAGAGCTGAATAGAAAATTTGACTTTCAAATAGAGGACTCATGTGGAACATGAAGAGGTAAACAGGAAAGAGAAATCATAAGAGACTTATTAAGATTGAACTGTTTACATTCCTGCATGGAAAGATGATATTTGTAACTCATGAGACTTTGTCAGTATTAGGGTAGTTGAAGGAAAAAAATTGTATGTATGTATGTATATATAGATAGATAGAGGGCACAGGGTGAGTTGAAGATTAAGGGGTCATATCTGGAGAATAAAATTAAGGGATGAGAGAGGATGATACTCGGAGAAGAAAGGGAGAGGTAGAATGGGGTAAATTATCTCACAAAAAAAAAGACAGAAAAGAAAAGTCTCTCACAGTGGAGGGGAAACAGGGGAAGGTGAGAGGGAATGAGGGAATCTTATTCTCATAGGATTTGGCTTAAGGAGGAATAACATACACATTCAATTGGGTATGGAAATCTGTCTTAGCCTACAGGAAAATAGGGGGAGAAGGGGACAAGAGAGCAGGGGGTGATAGAGAGGAGGGCAGATTGGGAAAGGGGTAATCAGAAGTAAATACTTCTGAGGAGGGACAGGGTCAAAAGAAAGAATAGAATAAATGGGAGGGCAGGATAGGATTAAGGGAAATAGAGTTAGTTTTTCACAACATGTCTACTAAGGAAGTGTTTTGCATAACTGCACATGTACAACCTATGTTGAGTTGCTTGCCTTTTCAATGAGGGTGGGTGGGGAGGGAGGAAGGGAGAAAATTTGGAACTCAAAGTTTTAAAAAACACATGTTTTAAAAAAATGTTTTCACATGCAACTGGGAAATAAGAAATACAGGAAATGGGGTACAGAAGTCTATCCTGCTCTACAGGAAAATAGAAGAAGGGGATAAGAGAAGGGAGGGGGAGAAATGGAAGAGAAGGCAGACCAGGGGAAGGGGTATTCAGAATGCATGCCATCTTGGGGTGGGGGGAGGGGTGAGAAATTTGGAACTCAAAAACTTGTGGAAGTGGAAAAAAAAATTTAAAAAAAATAAAGACACTGACCAAAAAAAAAAATGTCAAACTCAGTAGGTAAACTGGTGGGAATAAAGTGTGTGTGTGTGGGGGGGTGGAGTTAAGAGGATAATACTGGGATGGAACAGTCACAAGCAAAATAAATCTCAATTTTGAAGAGTTGTTTCTCAAAGAGGATTCAAATTTTAAAAGAAAAGACAATCATTTAAATTTTTTTTGTTTTTTAAAGAAAAAACAAGTACCAGTGATCTTGGGCCTAGGGGAGGGGAAAAAAGGGAATTAGTGGAAAAAAAGCAGATCATTTCAATTATAAACCAGTGGTGTTGATGTGTTTTCTCTTTCACACCTTCTTTAAACTTATAAAGAAATTGCTGGGTGCCAAGGGGAAATAGTATGGGGAGGGAAGGGGTGGGATCTTTATGGCAGGTTTCTCTGGTAAAGGCCTAATTTCCAAAACATATAGGAAATTGTTTCAGTTATATAAGAATAAGAATCATACCCCCAATAGGTAAATGTTTAAAGAATATGAACTGGCATTCTGAACGGTTGAAATTCTAGATATCAATAGCAATGTGGGGGGGAAAAATGTAGTGAGGGGCGTGGTAGCTAGGTGGCTCAGAGGCTAGACAGTCATGAAGATTCATCTTCCTAGTTTGAATCTGACTTCAGACAATTACTAGCTGTGTGACCCTAAGCAAGTTACTTAACCCTGTTTGCCTCAGTTTCCTCATCTATAAAATGAGCTGGAGAAGGAAATGACAAACCATTCCAGTATCTCTGCCAAGAAAACTTCAAATGGGGTCATCAAGAGTTGGGCATGATTGTAAAACAACTTAAGTGAACTGATGGAAATGCTTCAAATCAGTACTAATAAGAGAAATTCAAATTTAAATAGTTCTGAGGTTCAATCTCACATCCATGAGATTGGTGCAAATACAACTAAAATAAAAAATAATAATTATTGGAAAGGCTTGAGGAAATCTGGTTCACTAATTTACTGTTAATGGAACTGTGAATTAGTCCAGCCATTATGAAAAGCAGTTTGGAACTATATCCCCAAAGTACATATCTATATATATCCTTTGATTCAGTAATACCATGGCTTATCTCTCAAAGAGATCAAAAGAAAATGAAATATAAGTATAAGAATGCTCATAGCAGTGGGACAGCTAAGTGGATAGAGCATCAGGAAGATTCGTCTTCCTGAGTTCAAATCTGGCCTCAGACACTTACTAGCTGTGTTACCCTGTGCAAGTCACTTAACCTTATTTACCTCAGTTTCCTCATCTATCAAATGAGCTGCAGAAGGAAATGATAAAACACTCGGTATCTTTGCCAAGAAAACTCCAAAGGTGGTGACAAAGAGGTGGACATGACTAAAACAACTGAACAATAACAACAAAATTCATAGCAGCTTTTTTGGTTTTAGCAAAGAAATGGAAAGTAAGGGGATGCCCATCAACTGGGGAATGGCTGAACAAGTTATGGTATGTAAATGTAATGGAATATTGTCATTATTGTAAGAAATGACAAAAGAGACCGTTTTAGGGAATCATTGAAAGACACATATGAACTTAGTTCAGACTGGAATGAACAGAACTGGAAGAATCATTTAAATAGCAACATTGTGAAGAAAAACAACTTTAAAAGACTTAACTGTGATGAAAGCAATGACTAATCAGGATTCCTGCGCCTGTGAGTAGGAGCATTGATGATGAAGTATATTACCTCCCTCCTGACAGTGAGGTGACAAACTGGAGGTACATAAAGAGATTAACATGTTTGGACATGGTCACCTGTGAATTTCTTTTACTTGATTATGGTTATTTGTTAGAAAGGTGCTTTTTCGACTTGGAGGAGAAAAAGTGAACTAGCAATAGTGATGCAAAAAAACAGAAGGAGGGGGAAAATAGAGTTATGAAAACTTTTTAAAAAATGAGTGAAAGAGACCAGAAGGAAGCCCAGCCAAGTAGGATAGCTTTGAAAGTATCATGTTGTATTTATTACATACTTAAAAAAAAAACAAAAACAACTAGCTATGTGGAATAGACCTTCATGGTTTTGTAGACCATTCTCTTTTTATGTTCTACTCTGTGTATAAAAATGTTCTTTTTGATGGGTTAAGTTCAGAATTTTAAAAATTATGATCTTAAAACTTTGTAGTGTGACACACTACAGAGTCTTTTGAAAACTGTAGAGGCCACATACCCCCACACTAAACAGCTCTAGCCTGCTATGCTTTTTCTTGGGTCAATCTGAAGGTTTTTCAGTTTTATTCACTCTCAGACTTTTGGAGTTTGCTTCTTGCTACTATCAGCATTCCTGCTTCTAATAGCCTCGTAACTCAACCTTTCTGATATACTGTAAGCTAAAGGCTAAATAACCAAGTCTGTTGAAATCATGTGTAGTGTGAAAATAAATAGACTCTGAGAGGGGCTCTGTCTGAACAAAGTGCCTGATCTTTAGTGCCTGCTTCTGAAACATCTGTTTTAACTACTCAGTTGGCCCTTGCTTACTTTTGTGTTCTCAACTATATTCCAGGTAGTTGAGGATGTCTTAGGAAACACAGTACATAAACGGTATTGTCTCATTTATTATCCGGCAAAGGGATTACTTGCTTGAAGAATTTTTTGTAGAGTGCTTTTCTTTTAAGAGATGCTTGGGTTTGCTCTTAAAATCCAACTTTTATATCATGTGATTTCAAGACCTGTACAGTACAAATACCTCGTACAGTACCTGTACAAGACCTCCACAGTCAGCGAAAGAGTATGTGGCTACAAGCTCATCCACCCCTCATTCTCTCCTCCAGCTTTCATCACACCTGTAATGGAATATCAAGAGCAGAATGGAGATAACTATTTAACATGCTATTTATTTGGGGCTTATCCCCTTCCAACTATAACATGGACAGCAAATAACACAACAAACCCAGAAAGCAACATGGAAGTTTCATCTCATCCTCTCCTCTCTGTTAAAAGTCAACTCAATATCACAGGCTCAAATTCCTCTTATGAATGCATTATTGAAAATTTGGTACTGAATCAAAGATGGATTGGAAAATGGAAAACAGAAGGTGAGCTTTCCACTGCTTTTACTCACAGAGAGTTGAAGAGCCCAGAAGGGTTTTTGTTGTTGTTTTGTTTTTTGTAGATCTTAAAGGGCTGTATAAATGTGGGCTGCTGTATAGAAGGTGATTCCTAGATAAAGATAAGAAATGAACATATGGGAACTGATGAGAACCCAAGCATGTAGAGGTCCAGAGAAAGATGTGTGTGTGTATATGCATGTATGTATGTATGTATGTGTATATATACATATGTGGATATGTACAATAAGATGTGTGTGCCTATGTGCATATATGTATTTTGTGGTATGTGTATATGTACATAGATACATAGATATATAGGGGAGAGTTTGGATAGAAAAGATAATGATTTTTGTTTTGAATATGTTGAGTTTGAGATAACAAGAGGACGTTCTAGTTTCTAATGTGTAAGAGGCAGTTGGTGATTTGAAACTGGAGCTCAGGGGAGAAACTAGAGCTCAATGTACACATGTAGGAATAATTTTTATAGAGATAATTAATGAACATATGAGAGCTGATGTGAACCAAGCAAAATAATGTAGAGATTCAAGCGAAGGTGTATATATATCTATATATCTATATCTATATCTATATCTATATCTATATCTATATCTATATCTATATCTATATCTATATCTATATCTATATCTATATATGTGTGTGTGTGTGAGTGCATATATGTATATGTATGTATATATATGTATATATACACATGTATATCAAAATAGAAGTATATGTCTACTTATCTACAGCTATGTCTGTGTCTATGTCTATATATATATAGTGTATATATGTATGTGTATATGTGTATATATGTATACATACACACACACACACACACACACACACATATAAAACCAGTTCTCACTTCATGTAAGTGGACCATCCTGCAGACTTCCCCTTCCCCTCATGGGCCTCTGCTCGACCCCACCCCTCCATGGCTACTTGGCTTGGTGGCTTAGTGCCTAGATTGGAGGACCCCAGTGCCAGCACCTCTGCAGCAGCCTGCCAGAGCCAGAGCTGGGTTCCTGCTGCCAGCCCACTAGAAGCAAGAACTGTCTGTACATACTTATGTATGTATAAGTCATGATCTTTTGACCCAAACGCTTCCCACTTTTGGCTTCCCTATTATTACATTTGACAGCACTGTCCTCTTTTAGGCACCCAGGCTCACAACCTCAGTTCCATCTTTAATGTCATCCTGGACTCTTTCCTTACACTTGCCCCAAATAGCTGATCTATTACCGGCTCTTGCACTTTCAAAATCTCTCGTATGTATCCATTCCCTTCCCTCCACTCATGTAGCCACCACGCTGGTGCAAGCTCTCATCACTTCATACTTGGACTTTTGATACAGCCTTCAGATTGGTCTCCTTGCACCTCCCTCCATCGTCCTTTCAGCTGCTGAAGGAACGTTCTTAAGGGCAGGTCTGACCACGTCATGCCATCACCTCTCCCCTACTAAGTTGACTCCAAGGACTTCCTATTGCCTCCCAAGGGTCAAACCCTCTCTGGCTTTTAAATCCCTTCATGACATGGTCCTTTCCATTCTTACACTTCACTCTTCCCCATGTACTACTCTGTGACACAGTGATCCTGGACTTCTTGCTGTTTCTCGTGTATATAACAAACCATCTGCTAATTCTATACCTTTTTACTGTCTGTTCCCTATGCCTGGAATGTTATCCTTTCTCGTGTCCCTATTCCAGAGGCTTCCCTGATATCTGTCAAGACTCAACTAAATTCTCACCTGCTGCAGGCGGATATTTCCTCACCCCAACTTCGACCCCCTAGTTAGTGACTTCCCTCTGATATCATCTTCCATTTATACTGTAAATATTTTGCATGTAACATTTTTGAATGTTGTGTTCTTTGTTAGAACATCAGCTCCTTGAGGGCAAAGACAGAACTTAGAGTGATTTGACCCATAATAAGCACTTAATGAAGGTATGTTGACTGGACTTCTGACCTGGGATTTCATTGCTGGAAGAAAAACCCTTTACCCCTGAAGATGGGCAGCCTGCTACACAATTTATGGTTTTGGAGAGAGAGGCACTGAGAAATTACATGACTTTCTCAGGGTCATACAGCCAATCTTTCAGAGGCTGTAAGTGAACCCAGGTCTTCCTTACACCATGGCCAACTCTATCCACTTAGATATAAGTGCCTCACTTATGTTATTGCTGCTAATTACTTTATTTCCAACCTTTATGAGATTTGCTACATGTCTCCAGGCTCCTTGGAGCTATTTCGCAGAATTCCAGAATCAAAAGAAAGCTCAGAAGTACATACCCTACCTAAATCTTGAATGCCCCCCCCATATCCATTTTAAAACCAAGGTGATCAGCCAGCATGTGAAATCTGCTTTGAAAAGATCCAAAAAGCAACTAAACATCAACTTCTTTCCCTACCACTTGTCAACATCCTTCTCTTCCAGTTCTCCTTTTTAAAAGAATTATTGTTTTCATTAACTTTGTAACAGCAACATTTCTCTCTGCTCTCACGTCCTCATGGTGCAGTGGATAAAGCACTGGGCTTGGAATCAAGAAGGCTCGTCTTCCTGAGTTTAAATCTGTCCTCAGATAACTAGCTGTGTGACCCTGGGAAAGTCACTTAACTGTTTGCCTCAGTTTTCTCATCTTTAAAATGAGCTAGAGAAGGAAATGGCAAACCCCTTCAGTATCTTTGCCAAGAAAACCACGGATGGGATCACAGAGAGTCAGATATGACTAATCAGTTAAACAACAGTAAATTTTTTAGGAGGTTTGTTTTCTTTTTTTTCCTGACATCAAGCCTCACTTTGCCTCTTTGAAATTTCTCCCCTTTATTACTGGCTCTGTCCTATGGGGCAAACAGGATAAGTCTGATATGTCTTTCACATGGCAGCCCTTCAAATTCTCCAAGACAGCTATTGTGTTTCTCCAGCACCCCTCCCAACCCCCAAATCTTTTTTTCTCCAGGCTAAATATTCCCAGTTCCCTCAGCCTATCTCCAGGCCATTCAGCATCCTGGTTGCCCACCTTTGTACACTTTTAAGCTTATCAACATCTCTCTTAAACAGTGATAGCCAGAGCTAAACATAGTACTTCAGATGAGTTTTGATGAAGGTAGAATATGTTGGGAACATACCTTCATCAAATCCAAACAAAATTTAATAATTTCTAAGAGTCTCTTGACTCAGAGTAACAATTATGTTATTTCAAAGCAGCGTCTTCAATAATAATTGTCGATTCTCATTTTTTTATCATTTCCCTCACAAAGAGGCAGCCATACAGAGAATTACTAGGTACATACTGGTCATGTGGCCCTAGGCAAGCCACTTAACTTCTCAATGCTCTAAGTAACTCTCTAAGCTCCAAGTTGCAGAGGAGATACCCTGCATTGTAGAGGAAGTTTCTTCACATGGGAGTTCCAAATGGAATCACAGGTCCAGTCTTTACCCCATCTCATTTATAGAGGCATTATGGAAAACAAGGTTGTTGGAAAATGCCATAACGTCAGGTGACTTTACCAGTAAATGCTATATTTTCCAAACAAATTTGAACTCATAGCACTTTATTCTTTTCATATTGCATTTACACTTTTAAATGATTAGAATAATGATACTTTGTGGTTATATAATTACTGAATACGATAAAGTCATTACTTTTTCTTTTCTTTCATTTTCATCACACCTGTGATTTCATCAGTAGGGAGTTCCTGAGGGAACAGTTCCCTCCACAAATGCAGCAACTGTTGCACAATATAGAGTCTTAACAGAATAGCTTGGGAAACTCAGAGGTTAAATGATTTGGCCATCATCCCACAACCAGTATGGGTAAAAGGCAGGACTTAAACCAGGTCCTCCTGACCCCAAGACCCAAGAATGAATCTTCCTCATTCTACAGGCTGCTTCTCAACTTTTTATTAAATCTTTGAAATATTGGAATATGATGTGGAAAATGATCACTTTAACCCATGCACTATTATCAATCTTTCTCTTTTAGGTTCTCTTTTAACAACAGAAGGTAAAAAAGCTTTATTCCCATGTAAACTTAAAAATGAGGATTTTTTGCCAGAGAAAAGTATAAATGTTAGTTGGTACAGAGTAGAAAATTCATCCTCCACAATCTTGGCATCTTTTTCAAGTTCTTCAAATAGAATGGTCTTTGATAATCGATTCACTTGGACCAAAGACACGATGCAAGAAAAGTATAAGTTCTCTTTGACTTTGATGTCTCCTACTCCATCAGATAATGGGAAATACCTCTGCAATATTTCATCTGTAAATTATATGGAGCTCACCATTCAACCTTTGACAGTCGGTAAGTTGTAGCATTTGGTAATAGAATGGAACTATCAATATATAAAGTATGTCAATAGAACTAGAAATGTATAAGTTGTCAAGCAAGAAAATGAAGAGCTGATTTTGGCAATGAAATTAATCTTCACTTGATCCAAAATTCCCTGTGTCCATCAAATGATAGTTCTTGAAATAGAGATGTCAAGGATTGATTGCTCTCCTTTTTCAAAACAAACAGGACAAATTTTCATTAAAGGCATACCTTGGAGATATTGTGGGTTCAGTTCCAGATCATTGCAATAAAGTAGATGTTGCAATAAAATGAGTCACTGAATGTTTTGGTTTTCTACTGCAAATAAAAGTTAAATTTATACTATATTGTAGTCTATCACATGTGCAATAGTATTATATCTTTTAAAAAGTACATACCTTAATTTAAAAAATACTTTACAGTATTGCTAAAAAAAATGCTAACCATCATCTGAGCCTTCTGCAAGTCATAATCTTTTTGCTGGTGGAGGGTCTTGCCTCTATTTTGATGGCTGCTGATTAATCAGAGTAGTGGTTGCTGAAGGTTGGGGTGGCTGTGTCAATTTCTTTTCTTTTCTTTTCTTTTTTTTTTTTTTTGGCTAGGCAGTGGGGTTAAGTGACTTGCCCAGAGTCACACAGCTAGTAAGTGTTATGTGTCTGAGGTCAGATTTGAACTCAGGTCCTCCTGAATCCAGGGCTGGTGCTCTATCCACTGCGCCACCTAGCTGCCCCGGCAATTTCTTAAAAGAAGAGAACAGTGAAGTTGCTTCATTGATTGATTCTTCCTTTCATGAAAGATTTCTCTGTAGAATGTAATGCTGTTTGATAGAAATTTACTCATAGTAGAACTTTTTTTCAAAATTGGAATCAATCCTCTCAAACACTATCACTGCTTTACCCAACTAAGTTTAGTTAATAGTCTTCAAACCGTTATGTCTCAAGGAAAAGGGAGGTCAAGGACAAGGAGAGAGACAGTCAGTGGAGCAGTCAGCACACATACAACATTTATTGATTAAATTCACCATTTTATATGGGTACAGTTTGTGGCTCCCCAAAACAATTACAATAGTAACATCAAAGATTACTGATCACATATCGCCATAATAGATATAATAATGAAAAAGTTTGAAATATTGCAAGAATTACAAACATGTGACACAGAGACATGATGTGAGCACATGCTGTTGAAAAATGGTGCAAAGTTGCCACTTCAATTTGGTAAAAAGAAAAAAAACAACAAAACATAATATCTGCAGTGTGATAAAAAAACACAATAAAACAAGATATGTCTTTATAAAGGCCATTATATAGAATTTTGGGGTTGGGGAGATGAGATGGGCCACTGCTGCCCCTGTCCTATTCCTTTAAAAGTGCACAAATATTCAAGATAGCTAGCATATACTCTGACACAATACTGGAAAGAAAGAAATTCTGTGTAACAAAATGTCTTTAAAGAGACCACTTCAATCCATAGACTAGTCTTTTAGGTCAAGAAGTCTTAGTATGTGTGGGACAGCTAGGTGGCTCAGTGGATAGAGCACTAGCCCTAAAGTCAGGAGAACCCAAGTTCAAATCCAGCCTCAGACACTTGACACTTACTAGCTGTGTGACCTTGGGCAAGTCACTTAACCCCAACTGCCTTAAAAAAAAACAAACCAAAAATAAATTGTGACAAAGTATTGGGGCAATTTATAAAAAAAAAAGTCTTAGTATGTGGATAGTCTTAGAGATAAATTTTCAGTTGAGAATATTCTCAAAGATCAGTAAAGGTTATGATACATTTAACTTAGGGTGTTTTTCACATTTAAAATTTTTATATTGACATATTTTGTTTTATGTAACTTAAGTTTCTAAAAATATTCCTTCTTCTCTCCACCCAATGAGCTATCCCTTGTGACAAAGGATAAAAGAAGAAGGCCAAAAAAAAGCAGTTTAGCAAATTTCAATCAACACCTTCATAATAACTGATAGTATGTGTAATATTCCATATTCATTATTCCCCATTTCTGGATAGAAAGGGAATTCCATTTTGGTTTGTTGTTCATAAGAACATAACAAAAGCTGGAAGACACTTTAGAGTCCATCTAGTCCAATCCTCTCATATTTCAGATGGGGAAACTGAGCCCCAAAGAGATTAAATTACTTGTCCTGCAATATACAGATAATAAGTACAATGTCTAGGGGTCCTAAGATTATAAATTCAATGCCCTTCACACTGTATCTATGTCCTAAGTTAATAGCCAAAAGATTTTAGATGATTTTCCCCCAGGCATGATTTAGCAAAGCCAATGGCCAAAGTAATATATTTTGGGCACCTAAGAGGCAAAAGTGGTTTTTTTAAGGCATTAAATTTGCTAACTTTAAAGTAAATAGGTTTCCAACTCCACAGCAATTCAGAAGCAACGTAGGCAGTTGCCACAGAGAGCACTGTTGTAGTCATAATGTCTATTTTCCTTCTTCTTGCTTCACTCTGTACCGGTTCACATAAATCTTCCCATGCTTCTCTCAATTCTTCATATACTTGTATTAATGCTCACTTTGCTCTCTCCACTTTAAAGTGTATCCAGGATTCAAATAATGGTTTTGCTCAGATTTGTCATTGTTTCCTTTTAATTTTGTCAATATTAAATGTGTGATAGATTTAGCTTTCAGGGTTAGACCAGTCTGTTTTCTTTTTAGAACTGTTTTAATACTGTTAAGGTTTAAACTGTAGCACATAATACTTTTGGTAATCTTTTTTTGCTTGCGCAACTATTTAACAATTTGTCTTTCTTTGCATATAGAGCCAGGTCAAGGAAACTCTTTCAACAAGACCTATATTATTTTGGTGGTCATTTTAGCTTTTATTGGTATGTATATTTGGTATTGGTATGCATGTGTGCATATGTATTTATATACATTTGTATGTATATGTGGCTTTTAGCCACAGCCTTTCTGTACAAAGTTACATTTTATGTAGAATTTGGGGTCCCTCTTATGGCATCCATGTAAAAGCATAGTTCATGGGACAAACACACAAAAGACTTGTCCAGGATAGTTTCCCATGAATCAAAGAGCAATATATTTATGCTGAAATTTGTCTGAGGCTTTGAGAGGTTAGATATATTGTCCGTAGTCATGCAGCTACTCTGTCAGAGATGATATTTGAACCCAGGTCTTCTTAACCTTATACACTACTCTATGCCACCTCTCCAAATGATTCAACGTCTAAATAACTAAAAGTCATTTAAGCTATAAAGTTCAGTCCAATGTTTCTTTATGGTATGGATGTGATACTGTGTTCTCGAAGGCTTTGTCAGAGGTATGAAAGCTCTGGATAGAGTTCTGCCAGTTTGGAAAGACATTGAAGATAGGGCCATTGGCAATCAATATGTCTATTGTTTGTGGACCAACCTGGCTAAATTTGGAGAGATTTATCATCAGATTGTCTTCAAAATGATGCATATTTGGACCACAGCAATAAAAAGTTTATAATCTGAATCATGGAAGGACCATCCACACTTATTAAATCACAGATCTCAGGAGCATCGAAATAAGTAATAGTAGAACCAGAGCTAGAAGACACCTTAGAGATCATTTAGTCCAGAGGTTCTGAATCTGGGGTCAGTTATTTTTTAAAAAATATTTTGATAACTGTATTTCAATATAATTATTTGTTTTATAATACTATGTGTTTTATTCATTCAAAAACATTCTGAGAAAGGGCCCATAAAAAAGTTAAGAACCCTTGATCTAGTCCAAGTCATTCAGTTTACAAATGAGGAAAGTGAGAGTGGAGAAGTTAAGTGTTTGTCTATGGTGATCTCCTTACTCCACTAGAGCTCTTTTCAATAGAATGTGTTTCTTAAAGATTGTGGGAGCAGACCGTTCTTAAAGATTGTCAGACCATGGGCCTTTTACATTCCACATGGTAGATCATAGACATGTCCCGGGATCCTCCAAAAGACATTTCACTGCTGCCGCCCTTGTAGCTGTAGGGAGGTTTCAATTGACCCAACTTTTTTTTTTGTAAATAGTATTTTATTTTTCCCATTACATGTAAAGATAATTTTCAACATTCATTTTTAAATAAGATTTTGAGTTTCAGTTGTTTCTTTTTTCCTTTCCTCTTTCCTCTCCCCAAGATGACAATCAATCTGATATAGGTTATACATGTGCAATCATGTTAAACATATTTTCACATTAGTCACGTCTTGCAAGAGGAAACAGAACAAAAGGGAAAAACAACAACAACAGAAACCCTAAAAATAGTATGCTTCAATCTACATTCAGACCCCATAGTTCTTTCTCTAGATGTGGATAGCATTTTCCATCATGAGTCTTTTGGAATTGTCTTGGACCATTGTATTGCTGAGAAGAACTAAGTCTATCATAGCTGATCATCGCACAGTACTTCTGTTACTGTGTATAAGTGAACCAACATTTATTAAGAGCCCACTGTGTGCAGGGCACTAGAGGAGATGCAAAGTTTAAACATGACATTGTCCCTGACCTCACAGAGCTTACAATCTTCACCCTCTCCAAGACAGAAATAAAGAACTTTAATATACAGTGAAGCAAGATAATTTGAAGTGAACAGATCATAGTATTTTAGAGCTGGAATGGCCCTTAAAGACCTCCTAGCATCTAGCATACTCACTAGAATTAACAGATGAGGAAAGGGGTCCGTAAAGGTGAAGTGATTTGCCTGAGGTCACAGGTCAAGAAAATAGGAGGGCCAGAATTTGAACTCTGGTCTTATGATTTTATATCTGGTTTTCTTTCTACTTTACTCCTCTGTGCTTTCTGAGGTCTGAAGAAGAAAACAATTACTAATTTGGGTTGAGAGATTGCTCAAGGAAGGTTTACTACTAGAGGTAGAATTTGAGTTGTAGAAATTTAGTTGGTAAACAGGGAGAAGGGAGGCCTTACTAGGCACAGGAAATAGCATGATAAAAGGCATAGAGGCAGAAAGTGAAAGGTATATGTAAGGAAAGGTGGTCCAGTTTGACTAAAGTATAGACTATGGGAACAGAAATTAGATGAGAAATATTAGAAAGATAAGAAGGTGCCAGATAGTGGATAGCTTTGAATGCCAGATAAAGAAACTGAACTTTACTCAGAAGGCAAGGAGAGCTCTGGAAGGTTTTAATTGGAAGAGTAATGTATTCAAATCTGCACATAATGAAAATTAGTCTGGCAGTGGTATAGTCAATAAATATCTATTAAGCACTTACTATGGACCTAGTGACATGCTAAGTACTAGGGATACAAAGAGAGGTAAAAGACAGTCCTTGCCCTCAAAGAATCTACAGTCAGAGGGGAAGACAACATATAAAAAGGGGAAGAAGGTATTCATCATGGTGTCATGATGGAGAGGTCCAGTGGAATACAGCCAGGTTGGAAATGAAAGATGGCTGACCTGAGCACTCTCATTAAATTGAGGTTGTGTTGGGGAAAAGTCTTCACAGTGCAAATGGAGGGAAGGAGAGGCTCAGAGGCAGAGGATACAGATGATGTTTAAGTTCTCAGACTGATGTGGTCTTTCAGGATGAAAAAGTTTAAAGGAAAGAGGAAAGTGGAAGTGAGAAGACCTGTTCGGAAGCTATAATAGTAGTTATTTCATAGTTTATGGGGGCCTAGTTTGATGCTAGTTTGATAACAATGGGAAAAGAGAAGAGTACAAGGATAAAAGAAACATTGCAATGAGAGGTTGTTGTTTGGTTATGTCTGATCCTTTATGACCCTGTGGACTATACTGTCCATGGATTTTTCTTGGAAAAGATACTCGAGTAGTTTGTCATTTCCTTCTCCAATGGATTAAAGGAAACAGAGAAAGGGAGGAAGGAAGGAAGGAAGGAAGGAAGGAAGGAAGGAAGGAAGGAAGGAAGGAAGGAAGGAAGGAAGGAAGAATGAGAGGGAGAGAGAAATATTGTAGAGGTAGAAAACATTTTGTTAAATGACAGGAAAAGAGAAGGGAAGGAGAGGAAAATGTCAATGACAACATTAAGGTTTCCAACATGGGAGACTGAGAGAATGATGGTGCGGTTGGCTTCTATACCCTGCTTCTACTTTCTCAAAAATCACTGATGACTACTTATTCACCAAATGCAATGTTCTTTTTTCCATTTTAATTCTCCTTGACCCTATAGAGTTTATTACTGCTGACCTCTCTTATCCCTCCTATACTGTCTCCTTTCTTGGTTCAGTGAAGTCACATTCTCCAGGTTCTTCTATTTCTCTGAAAAACGCTTACTAGCTTGTGCAGGATTTTAGGGTGCCAGTGTATACTTGCTCTGTTGATTCAAGTTTTGTAGATGGCCAGGATGTTAGACAAGATAAGCGAGATTCCTTTATCTACTCTCTTTCCTTGACTAACAAGAATTAGGAAGGGGATTAGGTCCCAGGTATTTTAGACATCACTTCCCAAGGGTATCTCTATCCTGAGAAGTAGTTAAGCAATGATATTCAGAGGTCTTTATAATCTGAAGGCTACATGTGAAAAAGTCACAAACTTCTTAAGAGCCACAGTCTATTTTCTTTATAAAAATAATATATTGCCCAACAATGAACTCTGGAAGATATATTTTCTCATAAATATTGCTGGCCTAGAGATATAAAGGATTGAAAGCTTCCAGAAGAGTTAATGTTTCTGGAATGCAATGTCAAATGTCCATAACTTTCAGCGAAGTGTAATGGTCTTTAACCTTTCTCTCTCTCTCTCTCTCTCTCTCTCTCTCTCTCTCTCTCTCTCTCTCTCTCTCTCTCTCTCTCTCTCTCTCTCTCTCTCTTCTCTCTCTTTCTCTCTCTCTCTCCACTTCTCTGTTCTTCAATCTCACAAAAAAGGATTTATCCCAATGATGGGTCTCTAACAAGTACCCCAGAAATGTAGCATCATTCACACTGACCCTTCCAGTGCTCATCATATCCCTCTTCTTTTGCTTCATTCCAGTTATTGTCAATGTTGGTCAAAGGAAACTGCAGGGGGAAGGTGGGATGGAGAGAAAAATAAATATCTGTTAATTGGTCAATAAAAATTTTAAAAGTAAAAATAAATGAGGCAAATGTAGTACAAAGTTTTGCCAGAAATGGGTTCTAATTACTAGATTTATTTCAGTTGTACTTCATAGATCCTTGTGGCCTCTCTTCAGATTTCTTACCTATTTCTGATATTCTCAAACTGAGTGTATATTGAAAAGTCTTTTTCTTTGTCTGTCTTGGTAGCTAGTTATTAATTTTCTTTTATATGCTCTTTCAGACATAATTAGTCCCTTCACCCCACAATTTTATTGTGTTCAAAAAATCTTCTCAATTTGGGCTTTTTTTTTCATCACTAGTTTCAATGCTAGTTGCAGCACCAATATACAAGAAGAAAAAATGGAATTCAAACTCCAGGCCTACGGGGGAACAAGAAGAGGGAGAGAGGTCAGTCATTTTCTTTTCATCCAAATCCTAAATTTCAAGTTTCAGTAAAACAGTCACCTTTTCTCTAATGGCATTCTTCAAATTCAAATAAATAAGGTTGCAGACAAAGGAAAAATATGAATCAGTCTGAGTAGTTTTCTTTCCATGATAAACCATGGTCCATGTCTTTTATAGAAAAAGGGGAAAGGGAGTGTTATCAAACATTATCAAACGTACATCATCAAACAGGTTGCTACTTATTGTTTTCAGCCAAAATGACAGTTGTCTTACTCCCTTTCTTTCCTTTTCAGCATGAATCCTCCTCTTCTGTGAAAATCAACACCATGAGGCACTTAAACACTGATTCTTCCGATCTGGAAAAACAACAACACCCATAAGGCCCAGAGGAGATATTTCAGACAGAGAAAAATGTTTAACCAAGCACTGATTTACTGGCCTTTGATATTTCAACAGCAAATGTTTGATTCTACAGAATCTGTTCCAATCATTCAGTTGGTGAATTATATTTTGATAGTACTGGCAAAATGGGCAAAAGACAGGCAGGGCAGAAGGTAAGGATACAGTGAATCAGAAAATAAGCAAAAGTTGGTAGAGAAGGTAAGACTGAAATCAGTCAATTTGTCTATTTGTTAGAAACCCTGCTGAAAGGTTTGAGAAAGTGAGGAACTTGAAGTTAGTAGTTATAATGAGTTTGCTCTGCTGTCTCTTTTCTTACAAATCATTGATTATTGAGATATATGATAGTGTTTCCAATAATGCTAGGATGGAAAAAAAAAGGCCACTTTTGAAATGGTCCTTCTTGGAAACATCAAACAGCTTATAATAATCATTTTTATATCCTGGGCATTCTGACACAGCCACAGAACATCAGAAGCAATCCAGAGACAGAAAACCATAAAAACACATAGCCTGTTTTTTCCCCATGTTTATTAAGTTTGTATGCTTTTTAAGATTCCATAAATAACTACTAGGTCTGTATCCCAACGAGATCATGAAAAAGGGAAAAGGACCTACATGAACAAAAATGTTTATAGAAGGTCTTTTTTAAAAGTTTCTTTTTTTTCAATGTTTTAAGACATTTTTATTTAAAGTTTTGAATTTGAATTCCAAATTCTATCTCTCCCCCTTCCAATCCCTCTCCCCCAGGGAAAAACAGTCTCTCAGGGGAGACAGTAAGCAATGATATATAGGTTATACATGTGCAATTATGTAAAACATTTCCATGTAAATAATTTTTACAAGAAGACAAAAAATGAAAAAAAAGAAAGCGAAATACAGCATGTTTCAGTCTGTATTCAATCAATATCAATTCTTTCTCTGGAGGCAGATAGTATGCTTCATCTTTAGTCCTTTGGGATTGTCTCGGATCATTGTATTGCTGAGAATAGCTAAGTCATTCACAGTTCTTCATAGAACAATATTGCTGTTACTGTGTATAAAATTCTCCTGTTTCTGTTCATGTCACTATGCATCAGTTGGTATCAGTCTCTCCAGGTTTTTCTGAAATTATCTGTTTGTCATTTCTTATAGCATAATAATATTCCATTATTATCATATACCACAGCTTCTTTAGCCATTCCCCAATTGATGGCCATTTCTTTGATTTCTAATTCTTAGACACCACAAAAAAAGAGCTGCTATAAATTTTTTTGTACAAATAAGTCCTTTTCCCTTTTTTGGGATGTCTTTGGGATACAGACCTGGCAGTGGTATTGCTGGATCAAAAGATATACTTAGCTTGGTTGCCCTTTGGGCATAGTTCCATATTGCTCTCTGGAACGGTTGGATCAGTTCACAACTCCACCAACAGTGCGTTAGTGTCCCAGTTTTCCCACATCCCCTCCAACATCCAGCATTTTTGTCACATTAGCCACTCTGATTGGTATGAGGTGGTACTTCAGAGTTGTTTTAATGTGCATTTCTTTGATCAATAATGATGTAGAGCATGTTTTCATATGACTATAGAAAGCTTTAATTTCTTCATCTGAAAACTGACTGTGCATATCCTTTGCCTATTTATCAATTGGGGAATGAATTATATTTTTACAAATTTGACTCAGTTCTCTATATATTTGAGAAATGAGGCCTTTATCAGAGATCCTTGTTACAAAAATTTTGCTCAGTTTTCTGCTTTCCTTATTGGTTGCATTGGTTTTGTTTGTGCAAAAACTTTTAAATTTTATATAATAACAATTACTTATTTTACATTTTGTAATGTTCTCTACATTTTTTGGTCCTAAATTTTTCCCTTATCCATGAATCTGACAGATAAACTATTCCATCCTCTCTTAATTTGCTCATGGTATCAACTTATGTGTAAATCATGTACCCATTTTGATCTTATCTTGGTGTATGGTGTGAGATATTTGTCTATACCTACCTTTTGCCATACTATTTTCCAGTTTTCCTAGCAGTTTTTGTCAAATAATAAATTTTTGTCCCAAAAGCTTGGATCTTTAGGTTTATCATATACTAGATTACCATGGTCCTTTACTCTAATGTAACTTGTACCTAATCTATTCCACTGATCCAACACTCTATGTCTTAGCCAGTATCAAATTGTTTTGATAATTATAGCTTTATAATACAGTTTGAGATCTGGTATAGCTAGACCACTTTCTTTTGCATTTTTTTTTTCATTGATTCCCTTGATATCCTTAAGCTTTTATTCTTCCAGATGAATTTTATTATTTTTTTCTAGCTCTATGAAATATTTTTTCATAGCTTGATTGATATGACACTGAATAAATAGCTTAATTTGGGTAGAATTGTCATTTTTATTATATTGGCGTGGCCTATCCATAAGTGATTAATATTTTTCCAAATGTTTAGATTTGACTTTATTTGTGTGAAAAGTGTTTTATAGTTGTGTTCATATAATTCCCGGATTTGTTTTGGCAGGTAGCAAGTCAAGTATTTTATATTGGCTATGGTTATTTTAAATGGAATTTCTCTGTCTCTTGCTGCTGGACTTTGTTGGTAAGATACAGAAATGCTAATGATTTATGTGGGTTTATTTTGTATCCTGCAACTTTGTTAAAGTCATTAATATTTTCAAGTAGTGTTTTAGTTGATTCTCTAGGATTTTCTAAGCATAACGTCATATCACCTGAAAAAGTGATAGTTTTGTTTGCCTATTCTAATTCCTTTAATTTCTTCTTCTTCTCTTATTGTTATCACTTCACCCCTGATAGTAGTAAGAAGGCTTCTAGCTTATTCCCATTACATATAATGCTTGCTGATGGTTTTAGATAAATATTACTTATCATTTTAAGGTAAGCCCTACTTATTCCTATGATCTCTGGTGTTTTTAATAGAAATGGGTGCTGTATTTTGTCAAAGACTTTTTCTGTATCTATTGAGATAATCATATGAGTTTTGTTGCTTTTGTTATTAATATAATCAGTTGTGCTGATAGTTTTCCTAATATTGAACCAGCCCTGCATTCCTGGTATAAATCCCACCTGATCACAATGTATGATCCTTGTAATATATTGTTATAATCTCTTTACTAGTATTTTATTTATAATTTTTGCATTAATATTCATTAGGGAAATTGGTTTATAATTTTCTTTCTTTTGGCTTTTCCTGGTTTGGGTATCAGCACCATATTTGTGTCATAAAAGGAATTTGGTAGGACTTCTTCATCTGTTTTTCCAAATAATTCATATAGTATTAGGATTAATTGTTCTTTAAATGTTTGGTAGAATTCACTTGTGAATCCATTTGGTCCTGGGATTTTTTTCTTAGGAAGTTTATTGATGGCGTGTTCAAATTCTTTTCTAAGATTGGGTTATATAAGTATTTTATTTCTTCTTCTGTTAATTTTATTTCTTCTTCTGTTATATTTTTGTAGATACTCACCTATTTCATTTAGATTGTCAAATTTATTGGCATATAATTGGGCAAAATAGCTCCTAATAATTGTCTTAATTTCTTCTTCACTGGTGATAAATTAACCCTTTTCATTTTTGATACTAGTAATTTGGTTTTCTTCTTTCCTTTTTTAAATCAAATTAACCAATGGTTTATCTATTTTATTGTTTTTTTCATAAAACCAACTTCTAGTTTTATTTATTAGTTCAATGGTTTTCTTATTTTCAATTTTATTACTCCCTCCTTTGATTTTCAGGATTTCCAATTTGTATTTAATTGGGGATTTTTTTCTAGTTTTTTTTTTAGTTGCATGCCCAATTCATTGATCTGTTTTTTTTCTCTCTTTTATTGATATAAGCAATTACAGATAAGTTTTCCCCAGCTTTGGTTGTATCCTATAAATTTTGGTATGTTGTCTCATTGTTGTCATTCTCTTTAATGAAATTATCAATGTTTCTATCCATAAATAGATTTAATAGTTAATAATTAAGTCCTTAAAAGATTTGTTCTGTAAAATTTGGATTCAGTCAAAAGGCCACACTTAAGGATTTAGTAAACCACATGTGGTCTTAAGGCTATAGGTTCCTCACCCCTGGGTTAGATTTATCTAGTTCTGAGAGGGGAAAGTTGAAGTCCACCACTAGTATAGTTTTATAATTTATTTCCTCCTGAAACTCATTCAACTCCTTCAAAAATTTAAATGCTATGCCATTTGGAGTGTATATGTTTAGCATTAATATGACTTCATTGTCTATAGTACCTTTCAGCAAGATATAATTTCCTTCTTTATCCCTTTTAATTAGACCTATTTCTGCTTTTGCTTTGTCTAAGATCGTGATTGTATAGCAGGTCTTTTGTAATGGCAAAAGATTGGAAGTTGAGGGGATGCCCTTCAATTGGGGAATGGTTGAACAAGCTGTGGTATATGAATGCAATGTAATACTATTGTGCAATAAGAAGTGATAAGCAGGTAGATTTCAGAAAAACCTGGAAAGACTTACATGAAATAATGTGAAGTGAAATGAGAAGAACCAGGAAAACATTGCATAAAGTAACAGCAATATTGTGTGATGATCAGCTATGATGGACTTAGCTCTTCTCAGCAATATAATGATCCAAGACAATTACAAAGGACTCATAATAGAAATTGTTATTCATATCCAGAGAAAAAAACTGATGAACTCTGAATGCAGATTAAAGCATACTATTTTCACTTTTTTTTCATGTGTTTTTTTTTCCTTTTGGTCTGTTTTTTCTTTCACAATATGACTAACATGGAAATATGTTTTACATGGTTGCACATATATAACCTATATCCAATTGCTTACCATTTTAGGAAGAAAGGAGAAAAGGGATGGAGGCAGAAAAATTTGGAATTCAAAATTTTGTAAAAATGAATGCTAAAAATTATCTCTATGTATAATTGGAAAATAAAATAAAATGCAATTTAAAAAGACTCCAGAAATAAAAAGACTACAATGATCCAAAACTGGCTGTGGAAGCAAGAGGATGACACACCATGAAAGTTGACTAAGCACTTTTCCTATCAGCACAATTCTCTAAATAGGTGATTCTGAGGAGACCTGTACCTCTCTCTTGTGCTCAGATGGGAAGTTTGGTAATTCTGTAGTGGCTCATTAATGATCAGTTTGATCCTAAATCCATTCAGACCTTTCACCACCTTGTTTGGAAGACTAAGAATGCAGTGTCACCTTCAAGGACACCAAGATAAGGGCATAGAATCAAAAGAGCCTCTATTGACTAGAGAGAAAAAAAATGCAGAACACAGACCCACAATTTACATTTCCTAGCATGATTTATTGAAGGCATAGCACCAGAGATAGCCAAGGCCCACAGGCTAAAGGTGTAGGCCCTGTAGGTTCTTCCAGGCACTTCTGGGAATATTGTATCTTGCTTTGAGTCTGTAGCTCATGTCTCATAACAACCACCTGTGCCATTCAAAGCCAGTATCCCCAGATGTTTCTGGGGAGTGTAGCAGCAAAAAAAAAAAAAAGTGTTGTAAAAACAGAGTTTTTCTGGTCATCTCCTCTTCCTTTCTCATGTCCTATTATTCCTGCCCTGCCCTTATTCTGAAACCTTTCAATATTTCAATTGTCCTCGTTTTAAAGCTTAAAATTTGGAAACTTCTAATTTCACA